ATAACTTCAAATCCTTTGCATTTATTTAAGCATATTCTATGCACTCATGTATGGTCTGTTTTGGAGAATGTCGTATGTGCAGCTGAGAAAAATGTGTATTCTGATGTTGTGGGGTGGAAGACTCTATAGATATCTACAAAGTGTATTTGTTCAAAATTTTGGCTCAGTTCTAACATTTCATTGTTGATTTTTTGTCTAGTGGATTTGTCTTTTTGTGACAGTGGAGTATTGAAGTCTCTCAATATAATTGTATTAGGGTTCATTTGATTTTTCATGTCCATTAGTAATTGTTTTATATAGTTAAGTGCACTGGTATTTGTTGCATACACATTTTTTATCGTTATCTCCTCCTCTTGGATTGTTCCCTTTACAAGGATGTAGTGACCTTCTTTATCCCTCTTAATCAGTGTTGGCTTGAAATTCACTTTGTCTACAAACAGAATAGTTATCCCTGCTCTTATCTGGGTTCCTGTCATATGGAGTATTGTTTTCCATCCTTTGACTTTCAGTCTACAAATTTCTTTCTGAATTTCTGAATTTCTTGTATGCAGCATATTGTTGGATCTTGCTTCTTGATCCATTCAGCCAGTCTGTGTCTTTTGACTGGTGAACTGAGACCATTTACATTAATGGTTATAACTGACATGGATTGACATCCTTGCCATGTTATTTTCCTCTAATTGTTTGCCTTCCCTGGTAGATTCCTTCTGTTCGGGTTCATGGAGCTGTAGTCCTTCTTATTGCTTTCTAGAATGTCCTTCAGAACATATCGGAGTGCTGGCTTGGTGATCATAAATTTCCTCAGATGTTCTTTGTCATAGAAGTAACTTATTTCTCCATTAATTTTGAAAGATAGTTTTGTGTGGAGGTATATCAGTCTGGGCTGAAAGTCGCTTTCCTTTAGAGCTTGGAGCACTTCACTCCAAGTTCTCCTTTACTTGAGAGTTTGTGCCAAGTCAGCTGTGATCTGATGGGCTTTCCTTTATAGGTGATTTGTTTCTTTTCCCTAATGGCTTTTCAGATTCCATTCTTGTGTTGAATTTCTGAAATCTTGACTATGATGTGCCTGGCTGTAGATTTTTTTTTAATCATTGCTAATTGGAGTTCTTTATGCCTCACTTACTTGTATGTCAAATTCTTTTTCTCCACCAGGGAAGTTTTCTGACATGATGTCTGAGAACAGTTTTTAATGTCATTTGTGGTATCCCCTGCTTGTTCATTGACTCTGATTAATCTTGAGTTACTCATCTTTATCTTATCTAGCAGCTCCTGGATTGATTTCTCATGGTCCCTTGCTATTTTTGAGAAATCCTTCTTTTCCTGGTCGCTAACTGCAAGCCTGTCTACCACATCTGAGGTCCTGTCCTCACACTGGCCTAATCTGCTGTGGATACTTTCAGTAGAATTTTATTCTCCTGGATGTCTGCTTGAACCTGCCTTATGGATCCCATTTCTTTCCTACGCTGAGCATTCATGGCTTCCACAATTTTATTAAGTTCTCCTATTTTTTCTGCACCTGCTCTAGTGCACTGAGCATGCTCTTTGTTTTGGACACCCTCTGGGCAGTTACCTGGGACATTGTATCCGACTTGATTTTTTCCAGAGCTTCATTCAATTGCTTTGCTGTTTCCACTTCAGAAGGCCCCGGGCAGGGGACATCTTTGCCCTGTCCCACCTCACTGCCCACTGGGCTTGCCTTTGATGAACTGGGTATCTGGGGTTGCATCTTGTTTAAGTGTCTTCTTTTCTTTTTTTAGTTTAATTGCTGGGGCATACTTGTAAATTGCTTATGGTGGGTTGCTTTTTTGCTAGTATTTAGGGCCTTTAGGAAATACTGGTTAATTATTTTTTTTTCTTTTTTTTTTTTGTCTTTTTCGTTTTTATCGGTACCAGGGATCGAACTCACGACCGCCTGCTTGCAAGGCAGGTGCTTATGCCGCTGAGCTAAATCCCCAGCCCCCAATACTGGTTAATTAAAGTTCATTGTGTAAAGCAAGTTTAATTTGTTGATAACTGAGTTTTAGAAAGATTAAGTGTCCTGGCAGGGCTACAGCTGGAGCCCTGGGCCGAGGGCTTTCCTGGCATGCAAGGCCCTGGGGTCAATCCCATTACTGTAGAACAAACAAACAAGCTGAGTGTAGTGTCTCTCACCCACGGGCGAGCATTCTGGGAGGCTGAGGCAGGAGGATGGCAAGTTCAAGCCCAGCCCAGGTAACACATGTAACTTAGCAAGACCTTGTCTCAAAATAATAAGCTAAAAAGAAGGAACGAGATGTATTTCAGTGTGAAGCCCCTGAGTTCAATTCTCAGTGCCCCAGGAAGAAACACAAGCACTGGGAACCATGGATCTCTAGCACCCAAAACAAAGAAAATGTCCAGCCCCAAATCACACATGTGCTACACACCACCCCCAGCCTCAGATTTAGATCACAGCCCGCCTGACATCCAAGCAGGACCCCTGGTTCCCCAAAGCGATGCTGGCACCATTGGGAGCTATTTAGACCACCATGAAAACAGGAAAATGGGTGTATGGTTCCTCCTCAGGACTGGGGAGGCTGAAGCAGGAAGATCCTCGCAAGTTTGAGGCCTGACTGAGCTACAAAGTGAGTTCAAGACCAGCCTGGACTGCAAAGCGAGACTCTGCCTCAAAAAAAACACACAACCTTCTAGACTAAAACTCTCGCCGTAGCCTGAGTTACTCTGTGGCGCTGCAATCTGTTTGTTCCTTTCCATAACCTCCACTGGACACCTGGGTCCCATTGCCATGAGCCACTGCCACCCTCTGGACACCCATCGCGACCCCCAGTGTCACTCTAGTGAGGTAAAGGGGGAGTAGCCTTCAGGCCCGCTGGGATCCAGCGTCAGCTCTTGGGGACATGGGGGGGGGGGCGGGTCCAAGAGCAGGGAAGCTGGCAGCCCGGGACCATGACAGACGCAGCCAGCTGCCTACTCCACTCAGGTGCTCTTTAACTCTTGAAGCAGAGGGCTGGCCCTGGCTCAGTTAAGCCCCCCACTGCCCCGGGGGAGGGGGCTGGTGCCCTGCAGCTCCGCCCCATCCCTTGGGCCGGTTTACAAATCGATGATTCCCAGTCCAGCAGGGGGACCCTGGGTGACAGGGACAGAAAAAGGTACAAGACTCACATGCGTGTGCACACACACATGCACATATACCCCCAGGTGTCAGAAAGCCCCCACCTGGCCAGTGCAGAACCCAAGGACGGGCCACGAGGTCTGAGAGCTGGGGAAGGCACCTGGCCGGTCCCAGGCGGGAGCCAGAGCTGCGGACCTTCCTTCTTGGTGGCAGGAGTGATCCCAGCCAGGCCACCCTGGGGCCAACACCACGCTTTCTCTATTCATCTGCTGCTGGACACATGGCCATGGCCACAGCGCAGCTACCATGAGCCATGCTGCTTTAATCATCACAAGGGGCCCACCTATGCCAATAACCATAGAGAAGGTGTTTCAGAGGCGAGGTAGTAGAACTATCATAACATACACATTTCTTTCTTCAGCTTCTCACACTAGTGAGAAATACGATGTTTACACAAGTGCATCTGACTTATCTCACTTAGAATGTGGTCTGGAGGTGCATCCGTTTACCTGTAAAAGTCTCCAGTTTATCCTTTCTTATGGCTGAGTAGTAAGTACTCCACTGTGTAAAAATACCACGTCTTTTTTATCCATTCCTAAGTCAATGGGCATTTATGTTGCTTTCAAGATCTGGCTGTTACAAACTAAGCTGCTATAAACATGGGTACACGTACATCTCTGTGGTACGATGTTTTTATTTATTTATTTTTTGATGTTTTTAATTCTTTTGGGAAAATACCCAGGATGGGAACAGCTGGGTCAAATGGAACCTCTAGTACTAGATTTTTGAGGACTCTCCACACTAAAAAAAAAAATTTTTTTTTAAGAAAAAAATTTTAAAGAAAAAAAATACAATAAAATTCCGAATTCAGAAGAGAAACGAAGCCCAAGGAAATGGTGCTGCTGACCCGCTCCCACAGCCGGCACAATCCCAGGGGGTCGCAAGACTGGGACTTGCTCGCCCTGCACGCTGCACAGCGCGGGACCGCCCGCTGGACAGTAACACCAAAGCACGTGCGCCACACTGCAGTTAAATTATTAAAGCCGCATCTCTGCAGCAGCCCTCAGCGGCTGTGGGTTGCAGCGTGCCCCCCCCCCCCCGCTCCATCGCGCCAGGTGCCCCCCACCGCGGGGTCTGAAACCAGGGCAGCCAAAGTGCGTGGACTTCAAGGCCTTCTGATTCCACCAGCGCTGCTCCCAGCCACAGATTTTTCTTTCTTGAAACAGGATCTCACCATGTAGAGTTGAGGCTCGCCTCAAACTTGAGAAGCTCCCTCCCCTAGCCTCAGCCTCCCCAAATAGGGGCTAGGATTATAGGCATGCACTACCATGGAGTAGATGATTTTTTCTCCCACTGGTGTATGCTTACTACGCATGTGATGCCCATGCTGGGCGTGCCCATGTGCTGAACTACGATTTTACTATGAAGTCCTACACAGCTACAGCAAAAAGATGTTTGAAATCCGGGCACACTGGACTGTGCCCTCGGTGAGTTTATGGATGGTCTCAAACCTTGGCTGCTTACTCACTTGCTTTGTTTTGTTTCATGGTTGTTTGAGACAGGATCTCACTATGTAGTTCAAGGTGACCTTGAACTCACCATGAAGCCCAGGCTGACCTCGAACTTGTAGAGCAACCCTCCTGCCTCAGCCTCCAGAGTTCTGGAATAGAGGCATGTACCACCACGCCTAGCAAAGCTGTTTCTTGTGTACCTGAGTCACAAAATTACTGTGCACCAAGCAAGATGCACACACAGACATACAATTCTTTCATATCAATCACAGCGTAATCTTCACAGGGCCCATATATTTCATGAGCGGTACATCTGGAAATAATTCCAGTGGGCACTGGTCCTCATATGCATGGTGTTGCAGTCAGGGATTGTGTGGAGAACAATTAGAATCAGGACACAGAATTTATATTATTTTATGGTGGTCACTGGGAGTTAACACAAGAAAGTGCAGGAAATCTGTCCAAAACTCTAAAGACCCAGAATATTCAGCCAAGGGCCGGCATCCCACAGCAATATCCTGCATGAGTCCAGATGAAGACCTAGAGCCCATGACAATGCCTCCCACGAGCCCAGCTGGAGGTCAGAGCCCATGACAAGGACTCACACCAGTCTGCTTTACGGATCCATGCTGGGAAGGCCCAAAGGTCAGCAGTGGAAACCAGAGAGTCCATGCCAGCGGGGTGAAGGAGCTGTGCTGGTAGGTTGAGGGTTCTACACTGGAGCTGAGAAGTCACACTCACTACAAGACCAGGGCCGCCCTGAAAAGCACCACAGCCATCCTTAGTGACACAGAGGCCCTGAGCTCCTCTGAAGGTAAGAACAGTCAAGTACATGCCAGGAAGCCAGCATGACGAGTTTCTCCTGGAGACCAAGCAGCACACGTCTTCTCCGGAGCCAGGAAGCGATGCTCGATGTAAGGACCTGAGCTCTCTCAAAGTGAACCACAGCCACTCTCACCAAAAGGTCTCAAGCTCCTCTGATGACAATGGCTGAACTCACACTGGGGAAGCCAGCATGATGAGCTCCTCCAGGAAAACCAGTGGCTTAAACAGCAACACTTAGAAAAACTCACAACACGTAGCTATGCTGTTCCATACCTCTATTTATGCTGGCAACGTCCCTCAGGTGGGCCATCTATGCTCAGCACCACACTGATGTAATCCAGCTGGCATTAAGCTGACCACCAGGTTTTAATCCATAACACATGGGTAGTGGCTATTTATTACTTTCCCATCTTTTTACCATCAGATATTCATTTCTAGTTCTTGTTGTAATCAATCAATGGATGTCCTTGTGTGTACGAATTCTAGTGGCACACATAATTCTAAGGCACAAATTCCTTGAAATGAAATTACAGGATAAAAGGGGCTGATTTTAAAGTTGTAAGACAAATGGGCATTTGCCCTCCACAAGTGTCACCAAACCGTATCTCCTGTGCTAGTATCTGAAAGTTTCCTTTTACATTATCATCTCATGAAACTGGGTGTCACAGCATTTTTAATTTTTGAGGTTTTATAGTTAAAACGGTTTTTCACTGTTCTTCTGTTTATTTCCCTACTTGGAAGGTATAGCAGTCTTTCTGCTTGTCAGCCATTTGTACTTCTTTGTGAACTGTTCTGTTGAGTTTCTCTTCCACTGGTTTGTAGGAACTCCTTGCAGGTTATGGACATCAGCCTTTTAGTCCGTAGACAGAAGTTTCCCTTCAGCCAGCCGCTCGCCTCTGAACTCCTCACAGTGCGTAAAGTAAGTCTACTTCATCAAAGCTGTTGTTGACCTTGTTTTTTTTTAATATCTTAATTATGAATGACCTTTGCCTCTATGCTGTAAAACTACATCATCTATATTTTCTTTTCTGCTACTGAAGACTTAAGTCAATGTTAAGCGTTTTTTCTACTTTGTGATCAATTCTGTTCTCGGTCTTTCCTGCTATCGGGGTGGCAGCTATGCCCCCTGTGGGATGCCAGGCTGTGCCTCCCAGGGCAGGACCTGAGCCAGGCTGGGACAGACCTAGAGGAGGAAAGGAAAGAAACGGCATCTCAGGAAGATGGGGAGTTGGGGAGTTGTCCCTGCAGGGACAAGGAGCCCCGAGACAAGGCACGTGTGCAGACTGACAGGGCCTCAGCTTCAGGTGAAACAGCTGGAGTGAGGGACACAGTGGGCTGAGATGCAGCCAGGAAGTCAGTCAGGACCAGGCTGTGAGGGGACTCGAGAATGCACATGACCCCATGAAGTTCCAAGTCCCTGCTCGCCCAAGAGTCACTCGCAGATGATCTGAGGTGGGGATGTTTGTGAGGATGCAGGAGATGCCAGCCTGGCCAAGGCAATGAGCGTGGAAGGTGGGTGACTGTGGTGCAGGACACCGTGAATCCTTTCCTTTGTTCTTATGGACACTTGGACATTTTCATAGAATGCATTCAAAGTGCCCCAAAAGTCATCTCATGCAGACACTCTTCAGTGATACACATTACCAGGAGGTTTTTGTAGTTGTTATTGCTATCATTATTAGCATTGCTGAATTAACAAATAACACAGATCACAGACTAAGAGACTAGGATTGCATTTGTGATGAGGACAGGATTTTAGAAAACAAAGGGCTGTGGATTTAACTCAGTGACATAAGCACCCGCCTGGAAAGCACGAGGTCATGAGTTCAATACCTGGTTCAAAAAAAGAAAAGAAAACAGGATGCTAATACATTAAGTTCACTTTCAAGGTAGAAGAGTTAAGGACATTATTTTCTATTTTTCTCTGCTGTGTGAATGACATGCATTAATTTTGATCTTTTTAAAATCAGAAAAACACATTTTCACTTAGCAAAAAAGTGTTTTTAAACTCTAGTTATAGAAAAATATGATATAGCTTCATATCAGATGACAATGAAGTAGCTGAAAATAGTATTTAGGAAGAGGATGGTAAGGTGGGGAAATTCCAGTCCTGAATACCAACATGAAAACAGTGTGTAAGCCCATGAGAGACATCATGGTAACTTTACATGACTGAAATGGGACACCAACAGAAAGAGACTGGGAAGGTAAATTATCTAAACGACCGTATTTAGTCAATGGGATCCCATTCGTTCATCTTCCTCCAGCCCCACTTCTCTCTGCTACACACACCCACTCCTGTGATTGAAAATGAGGAAGAGAACTAATACTCCAGCAGCTGGTGCGGGAGAGCAGGGCAGCTCTGTGGGCGGAGCTGGTGCAGCCCCTCTGCTCTGGAGCCACCAACTTCATGAGGCCGAGCTGGGTGCGCCGTGAGTGCCAGCGCCCAGGCTCCAGGGAGCTCGACGGGAGCCAGGCGTCTTAGGAGAAAAATCACTCCAGTAATCTCATACTACAGCCACCAACAGGCTTTTCCCTAGAGGCTTCAGAATGGAGGAAAAGAGAAAGGCAAACACGCAGACAGGCACTTAGGTGCGAGTGAAACATCTCGGCAGTTAGGAATATATCATTTGTTGTTGCTGTGTTTTCTTGGTACCAGGAATCGAACTCAGGACCTTGTGCTTGCCAAGCAGGCGCTTGTGGCACTAAGCTACATCCCTGGCCCTGAATATATATTTGTTCACTTGGAAGTTTCACAAATATCATGTTTGTTTGTTTGTTTTAATTATAACAAATGTCATGTTTTGAATGTTCACGTTGAGGACAGTTTTAAGACTGTGTTGTTTTGGACGTGTGTGTGTGTGTGTGTGTGTGTGTGTGTGCGCTCACATCCCTGTTTTACAGATGCACCAAACTCTCCAGGCTGCTCGTGCTCAGGGCCTCCCAGCATCACTGCCACGGCGGCCGGAATGGGTCCGCATCTCCAGCCTGGACAGAGTGGATCCCGCCGGCTGCACCGGATGCCCTCGCCCTGGTGGAGCGGTACTCAGCCTGGAGCCACAGTCACTTCCTACCTCCTCCTGGCCCTTCCCACAGCCCTGCATGACTGGGGCGTCACCCAGAATATTCTGCGTTCCCCTCCCAAGCAGGAAAGGCAGCTGGATGGAGTTTCCTTCACCAAATAAACTGAAAAACAGACAGATGCTGACATTTTCAAAACGAAGTGATTTTCTGCTCTAAGACTGTGGAAATGTGAGAATTGAAGATGTGTGTGCTCATTCGAGAATGAACAAGGGGTTTGCAAAAGCAGGCGGGGAACATGGTGTCCTCTCCCAAGCGTGTCGGAAACTGGAGCAGCTCAGTGAAGGTCCAAGCCTACTAAACAAGGCTGAGCATTTATCCCTGCTCCTTCCCGCATCTAAGTGGCAGGACCCTGCCCTCCAGCTCCACGCACTGCTGCATGCGTGATTGCCTTCTGGGCATAGTTTTTATTTTAAATGCTGAAAAGAATTCATCTCCCATGGATGCAGAGGGCACTAGCTCAGGGTGGGCAGCAGGGACAGAGGCCGAGGGGGAACAGCAGCACAGACCTGGCCCTGCTCAGGACACTCCCTGTTCCCAGGCTCCTGCTGGGCTCCTACACAACGCCAGGCATGTGCCACACAGCCCTGGTGAGAAGGGGTCCTCTCAGGTCCTCAGAGGAGCGGCCACTGCACCCAGGTGTCCAGGCTCCAGCTCTGTGACACGGCCCCAAAGCCTGCACCAGCGTCACCAAGAGCCCCCCACCCCGAGCTTCACAATGCCAGTCCTTCTGCTCCAAGCTGAGGCAGACAGCATGGTTAAAACCCACACTTCTGGCCAGATGTACTCCTGTAACCCCAGCACTGGGGAAGCTGAGGCAGGAGGATCACCATGAATTTGATGTCAGCCTGGCTAGGTAATGGGTTCAAGGAGTTCAGAACATAGTAGGACCGTGTCTCAAAAAACCTAAAACTAGGGCTGGGGATATAGCTCAGCGGCACAGCGCCTGCCTGGCAGCACAAGGTCCTGAGTTCAATCCTAGCACAAAAAAAAAAGCATCGAGGAAATGCTGAAGTATAGCAAGACCGAATTAGAAACACCACTTTGAACCTTAAATGTAAAATACACTTTCCTATCTAACGTCTTAGGGGTATCTGAACACCGTCCCCTATTAAAAGAAAGCCAGGCTCTGGAAAAGTGGTTGATTTTGGGTCTTGAAAGAGAAAGTGTGAGCTATGCCTGAGATCTTATGCCAGAAATCAAGGAGCTGCCCAACTCTGGTGGAGTCATCACAAAAGGAGAACAACTTGAAGAGGCTGCCACGTGCAGATCTGGGATGATTTCGGCATGAGAAGGAATAACAAGTAAACAAAGGGATTTAGTGAAGTGTCAGGATGTAAAATCAATATATAAAACTCAACGGTATTTCTATACAATAGCAATGAGAAATCTAAAATGTAACTGGGAAAACAATTCCACTTACACTAGCATCAGCATAAAACATCCTTAGGAACACCTGTTTAAAATGTTGAGCCGTGCGTCGTGGCACACACCTGTCATCCCAGCACTCGGGAGGCTGAGGCAGGAGGATTGCTGCAAGTTCGAGACCAGCCTGGGCTACCAACTGAGCTCAAGGCCAGCCTGAACTGTATTGTTTTTTTTGTTTGTTTGTTTGTTTTTTGTTTTGTTTTGTTTTGTTTTGTTTTGTTTTTTTGTATTTTTACCAGTACCAGGGATCCAACTCACAACCACAGGTTTGCAAGGCAGGCGTTTATGCCGCTGGGCTAAATCCCCATCTCCTGAACTGTCTTTTTCAGACAAACTAAGTCGAAGCTCCAGCCCTCACAACAGTGGGTAGCAGCGGTCACCCCATCTCCAAGGCCCCCTCTTACCGACACAGGCGGGCTAGGGTCGCAGTTTTTCCCTACAAATCCCTGGCCTGGATGACAGATTTCACATCCTCCGGCTGGGCGCGCACGGGCGAGGCCGGGACTTGGCCATTCTCCACGCGGCCCGCGCCTGCCTCCTCCTCCCTCTGCGTGATCCGAGCCAGCGCAGCTCACTGCAGTTTCCGTAGTTTGCACAATGTGACGGTGCTTCAGCTCCAGAGCGCCCTCTTCGCCTGCGATGCAGAAGTACAGCTTTGGGGGCTGGACAGCTTCTTCGCGGGTGGTTTTGGGGAGAATGTGCCTCCGATGTCAGGAAACTCGTTTTTCTGTCTTAAATCTCACTCAATCCTCTCCTCTCCTCATTAGCTAAACCCCAGGCGCTCTCTCTTCTTTCAAGCCGGCTTGTTCTCTCACACACACCTGGGATCCCAGCACTGGGGAGGCTGAAGCAGGAGGTTGTGGGGAGCTCAAGGCCAGCCTGGACTGCACAGAGACACTGTCTCAAAAAACAAAGCAGACTAAGAAAGACATCCTGTCCAAGCCCTTTCATTCCATGGTGACAGTGGTGGATCCGCGGAGCCTGAGACAGGACCCCACTGCGCCTCCTCCCTGAGGAATCCCACCGGGCTCTCAGCTCCCCGCTGCCCAGGGCTCCGCCGCGGCTCCTCGGGGCTGGAGTATGTAACGGGGGCGCGAGGGGCGCCCCACCCCATGCCGGGTAGGTGAGGGTTAGTGCGGTGAGATGCGCTCAGAGGACAGGACAGGCGCCTACCGCGGCCTCTGCATTCTCAGCGCCCAGCTGGAGCTCCTCAGTGCCCAGTGCCGGCTGCAAATCTGCCAGCGAGGCCTCTGCACCGCTCTGCGTCCGGGCGGTCGTGGGGGCTCTGAGCGCCAGCCTCCGGCTGTGGGCAGCAGAGGCTCCCCGGTCATCAGGTGCATCTCCACCAGCACCACGTGCAGGGCGAGAGGCACTGCTCTGGCCCCAGTGGGTGCGCACTGCGGCCTCTCTGCCTGGGATCACTGCCCCTCAGAGAAATCAATCACGCCCCTCCCCAGCATGTGCTGCGAATGGGGGCCTCCGGGCTGTGCAGGGGACCTGGTCACCACTCAGATCCCGTGGTCCTGGATGGGACTCGGGAAGAGTCAGGCCAGGACACGGCAGGCCAAGCTCACGGGGCCTGGTCACCCGCTGTTCTCCAGCGCCCGGCTGAGGCTCAGTCCGAGTGACCGCTCCAGACCTGTGTGACTATCTCCTGCCACAAGCACGTGTATGCACACACGTACACACACATGGCTTAAAGGGCATTCTCTGGTATGGTGCAGCTCCCAATTCATCCCTGAATTCCACATACCCACAGGAGGAAAGGGACAGGGAACTTGTCACCTGCCGCTCACCCAGGACACAGGCAGGATCGCTGGTGTTCACAAATTCCCACGGTGCCCCGCACAGCCCTGTCAAGGTCAGGAGGTGCCCCTCCCTCAGCCCCATGCATTCCAGGCCTCACTTTGGGGACCTGGAACCATCCCTGCTTGTCTCCTCTGAGCCGGAATCCAAGTCAGTCTGCATGGAGCCAGGAGCCATGTCTGGGCTGTAGGAAGCTCAGTTTAACACTTTTTTTTTTTTTTTTTTTTTTTGTCTTTTTCATTTTTATTGGTACCAGGGATGGAACTCACGACCTCACACTTGCAAGGCAGGAGCTTATGCCACTGAGCTAAATCCCCAGCCCAAATTTTTTATTTTTCCTTTTTTTTTTTTTTTAAATCGGTGAACACACACACACACACACACACACACACACAGACACACATGCCACACTGCTGAAGCCGGAGCACTGCTTCAGCTTCTCCCCAGCGTCCTCAGCTCCAGCGGTGTCTGCTCCAGGCTCGAGCAGCTCGCAGGCCCCAAGTCACCTCACTGTGCTCCCCTCCAGGCTGTGAACAGTCTCGGGAACATGCTGGATGGCTGCAGCCTGGAGCCTTCAGGGCTCATAGTGACCAAGCACAACACTCGCCCCTATTGGGGCTCGGGGACTAGGTGGCTTGAGCCACCAGAATCTTGGGAGCCTGTGGAGCCTATTTCTGTTCTCACGACACCTCCACCTTAGACTGGCTGCCCGAGCCCTGCCAGGAGACGCTGGCTCAGAAAGATCAAGCACTCAGCGGAGCAAAGGAACTCTGCAGCACACGGAGCGGCAGAGGACGCACACGTGGCTGAGGGGTAGCAGGAAACCGAGGGAGGGTGCACCCCGCTCTATTCCAGGACCAGGCTCTGCTGCCAGCTGCCACCTCGTCACACAGCAGCGGGAAGTGACCGTGGGCTGCAGGGAGGCCAGCGTGGCTCATGCCCCACCAACAGTCACAGCGCTGCCAACACTAAATAGAGAGACTGGTTCTGATGAGAAAAAGAACTTTATTTCTATCAAACTGAGAAGTAGGAATCAATCTTTAAGCCAGGTAACCAAAATAGTCAATCATACAGTGAACAAGATGCAGAGGGCACAGGACACAGGACAGAGAGCACAAGACGGCTGAGAGGCTTGAGCGAGCAAGCTCAGAATCCAAAGGCCACACATGATTAGCCCGGGCACCAGGAACCGACACCTCCAGGACAGTCACCAGGTCAGTGTCACTGAGCCACAGGCGGGTGCAGCTGGGGGCGTCACAGTGAAAAGCTGCAGTAGCTCAGCACCGCCCCAGGGACGCGCCCGCCCCAGCAGCAGGGTCTGTAAAAATCAGTAGTACAAACTTCCATGAAACTAGAAGGGCGCTCCGAGCCCTGAGGCCCCGGGAGCTGACTGAAACAGAGCACCCACTTCCCTTTCCTCTAAATATGAAATGGCTTCACCGGGGAGAACCTGAGGCCGGGTGCCCCCTCAAAAGCTCCCAACAGGACGTCTCTCATTCCAAGAGCCCGACTGTCACTGGAGGACAGGGTTCACGCCCATGCCTAGAATGGACTTCAGCCCTCTGGAAATGTCCCCCGTCCCTCACATACTGCAAGGGACACCCCAAGGCATATGGATGATGGCATTTACTCCAGCAAGAATCGTGTGACTGACTGGGCATGTTGGTGCACACCTGTAACCCCAGGACTCAGGAGGCTGAGGCAGGAGGATCACCTGAGTTCAAGGCCAGCCTGAACTACATAGCAGGAAAGGGGCCAACTCACAAGCAGACCATATGCCCATGGTGAATACCTGCTGAACCTCAGTTCTTCCGAGACACCATGGGGACTGGGAAGCCACTAAAACCAGAATCGGAAGGAGAAAGGGACTTGCACTCTACAACTCATCTCTCCCTTTGCCAAAGACAGGAGGCTGTTGTGAAAGGGAGGGGACCCTGAGGAAGTCCCCTGGTGAGCCTGAAGCCCCTGGAGCCCCGACTGCCTCTGTCTACACAGAGTCACCACAGCCCAGGATTCCAGGCAGGGGCTCTGGAAGCTCCAAGCAGGGAAAGGGAGAGGAGGGCGTGCTGTACCTCATGCATCCCCACAAGTACGAGATGCCAACACACACGGGGTCTCGGCCTCTAAACGCAGGAGATGTGGGGTGAGGTCCGCAATCTGGCTCAGAGCCTGATCCTGAGCCTGGGTCCCCAGAAAGGGACACTTTACAGAAGCCTACATGCAGGTTGGGTCAGGGCAGGCGTCCTCCCCTGGGAACCGTGCCCATCTCAGCAGCTCCAATGGCACAAAGAGGTTGAGGGTGGCAGCGCCCGGGGCTCCCCTCTTCCCTGCCACCCAGAGGCCTCCGGTGACACCAGAGCATCTGAGCCTGGGTTAGGGAGGCGGCGAGTGACATGAACCACATCCCCCGCGTGCCACTGTCCAGGTGGCGCCTTCAGAACCACATGGTGGTGCAAGGGGTGCAGGGACAGACACAGGGGCAGGTGCAGAGCATGAGCTTGGGGTACAGCACTTCTGAGGTCCCCCACTGCCCAGGCCGCACTGTGGGACCCATTCTGAGCTCTGAGGAGAAAAGTGAACTCGCTGAGAGCTTCAAGGGGCCCAGGCCCAGGCCCAGTCCCAGGTGAACGACAGGGATGGCTGGGGCAAAGGTCACAACCAAGGCCATCAGAGGGCAGCTGGGGCCCAGGAGCCAGCACAGGCCACACCTGGCTGCTGCTGAGGTCTCTTTATGCACACAGGAGGGAGCAGGGTCCAACCTCCTCTCATGGCTTCCTCACATAAGCCAGGGGGCAAGGGATAGATCGGTCACCCCAGTGACCTCAGAAGGAAGCCCCCAGCAGAAACAGCCCTCGGGATTTGGGTTCCAGGGCAGAACAAGGGCGCTCCCTTCCGGGAAGAGGCACACTTCAGGCTGGGAAAGCCAGGGTCCCTCCACTCTGCCATTCACGGGTGGTGTGAGCCACTGCCAGGGTCCCCAGATCTGATCTCCACCTCCCTTGTTTCTAAAGAGGCAGCCTCTGCCTTCTGGGAGCAGATGTCTGCACAGGCCCTGGGTCACCCTTCACTGCCAGCCTCCCATGTGGGCCTCGGGCTGCCTCGGTGGCTGGGGTGGGGGCTGGGAGCAGTGGCAAGGCGGGCACCTGTGTGCGGGGGGCGGGGGGGGGTGAGGGCACTGCTGGCTTAGGCTGCCCAGAGTCCACAGCCCAGGATCCAGTCGTGTCCCCGACCGCTGCCCATGTCCTGAAGCCACTCGCCCCCTCAAAAGGGAGGGGACCAGGGAAATGGCAAAGGCTGTCACCCTCTGAGTGACACCCTCCACAGAAACCAGAACTCAACTTCTCCATCCAAAAGTCATCTCCATAGCAACGTTGGACGGTGCCATCTCCCCAGGTTGCTCTCCACCCCGTTCCCCAGAAATCCTGAGCTTGGGCACAGGAGTGCAGGGACACAGGGCAGGGACAGGGAGGGTGGGGCTGCAGGCCCAGAGGCCACCAGGAGCAGGGGAGCTCCGGCAGGGGACAGACGGGTGCAGGAACCACAGAGGGAAGGGCGCTCCCCCCCCACAGAGGCAGAACCAGGCTTCCTTCTCGCCCCTGGCGTGACGGGTCTCATGGGTCACTTGGGGAGCAGCTGTGGACACCCGGGGTGGGGGGGGGACAGGCACAGTGGGCAGGGCCACACACACCCTTAAGGCAGCAGGGATAACCTCACTGCTCTTCCTGGGGCAGCACAGCCAGCGAGGCAGCACCAAGCCAGAACGGGGACGCCTTGTAAGAAATAGTATGGGGGGTCAGTGTTCGAACTTTCAGACCCCATGACCACCCAGGGACTGCATCTTTGGAAATGCAGGAAAAAAGGGAAGGCTCTCATCTCCCTGTAATGGCCAGGCTGTTGTCATCAGGGTGACAGCCTCCTCCAGCCCACATCTTCACCCCTCGCATACGCAGGGACAATTGGGAGGGATAGGTGTGCGCTGGGATGCCCAGGTCTGGGGGTGCGGCCGCAGTCCTCTCATGGTCCTCATCAAAAGCTCCGCCTTCCTGTTCATTGGTGACTCCATGGACTCTCGTTCCCCTCTCCACAGGCCTGAGCACCATACAGCGTTTCCTTATGAATTTCCGGTTTCTGAGCACTCTGAGGCTTTGGGATCTAATCTTTCTGAGATGAAAGGAGAGCAAGCTGGAGCCAAGCGGCTGTGGGCTCAGCTTTTGGGGCTCGGAGATCCACAGGGTCCCTGCCCTCGGTCCTGCACGTAACCACTAGCAGAAGGAAGGAAGCGGATGTCACACTCCTCCCAGTGGAAGCAGAGTCCCCCGGCACAGGGGACAAGTAGGGGCGCCAGGAGCACAGAGCTGGCAGTGTGGTGCTCCTGGACTGGGACCCAGCAGAGCTCGGGACAGGGACAGGAGCAGCTCCCGCCCGCATCACCAGGGTGCTGAGCGTACAGCTGGGAGGAGGCAGGGCTGGGAGGCCTCTGGGGACCTCGATCCTATTAAGGACCCTTTGGGTCGACGTTGCTCTAGAGAAGGCGCCACGAGCTCCCGGCTGGCTATCACCTGCGCCCCAGGAAGGTGCCGGGCCCGGGCCACCCGCCTGCCCAGGCCTCAGTTGGTGTCTTTGGACTGCAGTGGTGCAAGCTTGCTGGAGAAGAGGTTGTGGACGTAAGGCCAGATCTTGTTGGTCTCGGTCCCGGAGAACTGGTGCAGCACCCCACGGCGCCTACAAGACAAAGGCCACAGGCTCAGCCGTCCCCACTGGACACATGTGGAGCAGGGAGCAGGGGGACCAGGCAGCAACCCCCAAAGCATTGGAGCGGAGCTCAAGGTCCAGGGCCATGACGCCACGCAGGCCCTGCTTCCTCGGAAGGGTAACCCCCCCCCCCCAATGCCCTTCCCAAGAGAAGAGAACCGGCTTCGTGGTTCGGGCCTTGATCCCCGCAGCAACCACTCACAGGCCAGGGCAGCTGGGGCTGGGCCCAAGGGGCTCAGCTAAAGGTCTGTGGGGCTGGGGGGGGGCACCCACGGTGCTGTCCGTATCACAGGCTGCTTAAAACCCGTAACTTCCCCATCAATGTCTCCCTACAGAGAGAATCAGTCTTCTGTCTGTCCTGAAGCACAGGAGCCCTTTCTGCTGCCGCCACTGACTCCATCAGCCCAGAGCCCAGGACCCAGCTGCTCCGCAAGCACCAGCTTCCGGCCCCCACCAGGACCAAGGTGCCCCGCCCACTATGCCACCCTCAAAACCTAAAACCTGGGCTTCACCCCTGCCAGGTAAAGGCCCTACCCCAAGCCAACCACATCTGCCACCCAAGAGCTCCTAGGTTCCAACCCTAACACTGCAAGAGAACGGGCGAGAAAAGAGGAGGAAGAGGAGCAGAGGCTAGAGGAAAGGAGGATGGGGAGGGGAGGGGAGAAGAAGGGAGGGGAAAGGGAGAGGAAGAGGAAGGGAAGGGAGAGGAAGGGAAGGGGAGGGGAAGGGAGGGGAGGGAAGGGAAGGGGAGGGGAAAGGGAGCAAAAGGGGAGAAATCTCAGTGCCATTTTTCTATCCCAGGCAGACGTGGAGTCGAGGTCTCCAGTTCTAATGTTCATCTCAACCCCTCTCGTGGAACACAGCCCAGAGCCCACGCAGCATGGCTGAACCCGCTGGGCGGCAGCCCGTGCCTTCACCACTCCAGCCTGCTCACCTGTACAGCTCGATGACCGGCTTCGCCGCATCCTTGTACCGCCGCAGCCGGGCGGCCACTGCGTCAGGTCTGTCATCCTCCTGCTGGACCAGCGGCTCGCCAGTGACGTCATCCACACCCTGAAATGCCAGGGGACGGTGAGTATGGCCAGTGGCTCTCACCTGCTCCAGGGAGGGGCGCAGCCCTGAAGAGACGGCAGAGGGGGGCCCCCACTTCCCAGGACCTGACCTGAGCCCTCACTATCACAGCTCTGCAAGGTGGCCTGGTGGCTGGCAAACTACTTTCCATCCTGTCTGAACTTCCTGCCACCTCTCCAGCAGTAGGCCTGTCTCTCTAGCCCTCAAAATGTCCCCCAAACTGCCCAAGCCTGCCATCCCAGCATCCAGGAGGCTGAGGCAGGAGAATCACCAAGAGTCCGAGGCCAGCCTGGGCTATGTAGCCAGTTCAGCAGGACTGCATCAAAACAGCAACAAAACTATAGATGAGTGAGTGAACTTGAGCTCTGAAGATAGGAAACAAGAAACATGATGTCTTCAGGAAAATCATGAACTAGGAAAAAACTACTGACCGTCCCAGGCAGCTTCAAACCACCACACAGCCTCTCTGAGACTCCTCGGGTTCTTTGCCCAGGTCAGATGCCACCTCAGAGGGCACTGACAGGCACGGCCCCCGCAGCCACAGCCACCAGGGGCAAACGGCCAGGACTGAGCCAGTGCAGCTAAGGCAGCCCTGGTTCCCTGTGTGGCCCAGACCCTGGGAAAACCACCACTCCCACCACAGCATGGGCACGGCAGGCGCCTACACTGCTGCCCAGGGGAGACTCAGGGGAGGGATGGGTCCGGTCAGCTTGGCCCGCCCTGGTCAAGAGAGTGTGGCCCCAAGGCTGAAGGCCAAGTGCACATCCTGTCCAGGCCATGCCCTCCCCGGGACTTGTGCTCTGCAGCTGGTGCTGGCACCGGAAGACATGGGGGTGGCAGAAGGTCCCCCGTGACCTGCACGTCCCTCTTTGCCTTCCTGCCAGCCACAATGTCACAGTCACTTCAAGGACCTCAGCTCTCAGAAGGAGCTGGGGACGGGGCCAGGGCTGATGGGCTCCTCGCGCCTGGGTACACAGCCATGCAAGAAGCAGGCGCCCTGGAACCGCAGGTGCTCTTTTGGTGAAGCTGGGTTTTGGAAAAAGTCTTGGTAGAAGAGCCTTTAGATGTCCTAAGAATCTTTCAGGCCAGGTATGGTGGTGCATGCCTGTGATCCCAGCCCTGGGAGGCTGAGGCAGGAGGATGGATGTGAGTTCAAAGCCCACCAGGGCTTCACAGGGAGACCCCTCTAGAATATGTGACTGAATGAGGAGGCTGGGCAGGAATTGCCAAATTACTGCCTCTGTTTTGGTTTAAAGCCAGGGTCTTACACGTGCTCCGGGCTGGCCTCACACTCCCACCACACCTGGCTTTAACACTTGTTGAACAAAACCAAAATCCCCTCTTTTCCCGGGGACCCATCAGCAGTCGATGCTCCTGACCTGTCTTTACTGTGACCTCCCCGACCACCACTGCACATGGACTCCTGCTGCTGCTGCTGCTGTGAGCAGCTGAGCCCTACCCACCCACCGCCCACACCCCTCCACCCACTGCCCACCCCATCCCGGAGTCAGGCCGTCCGGCAGTGGTCTGCAGGTCTCACCGGCACGAGTGGTGGGTTGAAGTCCAGGTTGTAGACGCGGCCGCTGGGCAGGTGGACCCAGCGCCGGCTGAGCCGGTCTTTCAGGGTCTCGAAGGGGATGTTCAGGCTGATGACCAGGTCCAGGTCGCAGACCCTGTCCAGGGCTTCAGCCTGCCCGATGGTCCGTGGGAAACCTGGGCATGAGCACATTTGCGTAAGGCTCGCTCAGCAGCTCTGGAATCTCAGCGGAAGTCACCCAGAAAGGACATGAACTGAGGTCCCCATCCGGCCCTGGCACTTCGAGCTGGGAGGAAATCCACTATTTTACCCCGCACCTGCATCTGCTAAGTTCCACCATCAGTGGGTCTCGGGGTTAAGCCAGGAAGCACCGTTAGCCCTATCTGGCTTCTCTTTCTCTGAAATAATCCGCCCCCAGGTGGCTCCCACACACTAGTGGTGACAGTGAAGTCCCACCGGCCACAGGACCCTTAGGTTGACCCTGCATCGGGCCCAGGTTTCAGCCACGGCCCTGCCCCACGTTCTAGAGCTCCAGGAGGCTGATGCAGGAGAATCCCAAGTACAGGTCCATACCAGGCAATATAAGAACTGAGTCTCAAAATGAAATGCATCTCTGTGGACAGCAGGGCTGGGTCCAGTCCCTGCCCCGGGAGGTCGTGGACGTGGAGAGCAGGGTTCTCTTAGGTTGTGGGTGCAGCTCGGGTGAGGTACCTACCCAGTGTGTGCGGGACCCTGGCTGGGGCCTCAGAACCACAGAAAGCAAAACCAAGACACACACCTGGTTTGTTTCTGAGGTTCTCCAGGCAGTGCTGGGCTCGCCCTTCAGTTAATTCTTTAGCCATTGGCTCTGGAAAGGGCCGTATGGCCAGGCTGATGCGGCCACAGCCAGGCACCCGCAAATCTGGCAACTGGGCAGCTCCAGTACAGCAGGGGTCGGGGACTCACCCACAGCAATCACGCGCATGCACACACACAGACACATACCAACACAGATCCACACCCCAGCTGGGCCCCTAGGATTTCAGCCACGCCCTGCGTTCACCCACGTGCGCCAGCAGGTGGCAGCATTCATGCTTCCCTGTGAGGGCCGGCAGAGCGCCCGGAGCAGTGCTAACAGCATGGCTCTGGTAAAACAGAGCTCCAACTCTGTATTAAAAGCACAAGCTTCCTCTTCCAGGCAGCCACACAAAGGACACGACCGCCCGTAATCCCAGCACTCTTGGAGGCTGAGGCAGGAGGATCCCAAATTCAAGCCCACCCTGAGCAATTTAGCAAGGTTTAACGAAGTAATCTAAAAAGGCTGGAGCCCAGCTTAGAGGCCCTTGGTTAAAGACTCAGTACTGCAAATAAACCCCCACCTCATGCATCCACACCAAGCTGCTCCCCACTCCCCTAACCCTGCTGCCCCACCACTCACCCCACCCCCACACATCCCAACAGCCAAACAGCCCGAAAGGAGAAATCTCATGGAGCTGAAATTTCCTTTGGCTGCCCTTCCCAGACTGGCCTTGAAAGGGATCCTCCTGCCTCGGCCTCCCAGAGTTCTGCGATCACAGGCACATGCCACCATGCCTGGCCAGCCAGTTTATTCTTGAAACATACTCAACATTCAACAAGAGCAACAGAAAAACACTGCCCGGAGCACTTCCTAAAAGATGCAGTGGGTGACAGTGTGGGTCCCCACAGCCTCCAGAGACCTGCTTCATCCCCATGGGTGATGTCCACTTTGAAAGATGAACATGCAGAGGTCAGGCAGGCAGCCATGGACATCAGCCTGGCCAGGGACACCCATGGCAACAGCAGAGCCCTCCCAGCACCTGGTGCTTTCCTAGGCTGCCCTCCCCACCAATCAGGGACACAGCCCGGAACAGACCTGTGCCCTCAACACCCAGGACTCAGACTTCAGAGAAACAGCTCCCCTCAGAAAGCCAGGTGGAACCACCCCGGGACATGCCTGTCTCCAACACTCTATCAATCCCTTCCACTTTGGCTGGGTGTGGCACTGCACACCTGTGATTCCAGTACTTGGGAGACTGAGGGGGAGGGTGGTTCTGAGTTTGAGACCAGCCAGGGCTACAAATAAAACCCTGTCTAAAAAAATGAAGGAAAGAAAGAGAAAGACAAAGCCCTGCTCCCTCTTCCTGCACATGCACACACACGCACGCACACACACACACACAATGCTGGACAGAGCCAGCCACACCACAAGGCCTTCCTGAGCCCCCCACCCCAGCGGCCACTTCCGCATAGCCATGTGGAGCCCTGGTGGTGTCACCTGTCACCAGAGCCCCCACCCAGCCCACACACTGGGCTCAGTGCCCAGGACACAAGGCTTGTCGCTGAGCTTGGGGACAGAGTCTGCATCCCACCAGATGGACAGCCTGGGACCAGATGGCTTCTCGGGAGGACACGGCACAGGAGGCAGCCAGAGCACTGCAGAAACGGCTGCAATGGGCAGAGCTGTGGGCAAAGGGGGCCATCCGTTCGTCCATCCTCCTGTCCATCCGTGCTTCCATCTATCCATCCACCCATCTGTACTTCCATCTATCCATCCATCCGCCCATCCGTGCTTCCTGCCAGCCAGCCTTCTATCTATCCGTCCATCCATCTGTCCATCGGCCCATCTGCCCATCCATTCACCTACCCAGCCATGAATCTAGCTTTTTTTTGGTACCGGGGATAAACTCACAGCCTTGTGCTTGCCAGGCAGGCGCATACACCACTGAGGTAGATCCCCTGCTTGTTACCCATCCATGCATCTTCCATTCGTCCATCCAACCTCCTATCTGTCCATCCAGCCACCTACCCATCATCCACTCATTCTGTCCCCATCTATGCATCCACCCATCTTCTGCCAATTTATCCTCTCATCTATTCTCCTGTCTGTTCTCCTTCTACCCACCCATTCATCCTCTCATTTGTCTGTCCACCCAGCCTCCCATCCCACCATCCATCCATCTGTCCATCACCCCATCCTTCCCTTCCACTCATCCCTGTGGCCATCACTCTCGCCAGGATGCTGTCCGCCCCCTGCTCAGGCCTCTCCACTCTGCAGGTCTTTACACAGTTGGCTCCCTCCCGGGTGAGAAGCCCACAGAGCGGGGCAGTACTACTGTCATGAACATCTGGAAGCATCAGGAGATACGGATGCAGTCCCAAACTGCTGGGCTGTGGCACACACAGGGTTCCGCGGCCCCCAGAGCTGCCATTCAGCACCCAGCCTTGTGCCGCACACATGCCCTAAGCTGTGCCTGGGTCTGTTACATTGCAAAGGAAAACCCACAGCCCACAGCTGCCACCAAGCAGCCCTTGGAGACTGAAGGAAAGAGCCTCAAATTTAAGATGAGTTCCAGGACCCGGGCACACAGGCGCACACCTGAAAACCCCACACTTGGGAGGCTGAGGCAGGAGGACTGCTATGAAATGAAAGCCAGCCTGGGCTCCATGGCTTGCACGTGGCCAAATCATAACGCTCTCTAAACCGCAGGAAGTTTGGGGGTGTAAGGACTCTCTGGTCTGCAAGGACTAAAGGAGGGGTGAAGGAACTCCAAAGCCCAGTTCCTGTCACTCACCGTCCAGCAGCCAGTGCTGGTCACTGCGGAGCTCCAGCTCGGACATCATGAGCCGCGTGATCACGTGGTCCGGCACCAGTAGGCCCTTCTCCAGGTACTGCCTGGCCATGTGTCCCACCTCTGCAGGGACAGGAGAGGGATGTGAGGCAGCCTCCACAGCGGGGACCTCCTCCACCCCTGCCCCCAGGGACAGGGAGAGGCCACCCCAAGATCTGAAATGCCAGCTTCACCGGCACCATGATGCCCGTTCAGGCCACCTGCTCCCGTGGATGCCTTCAAGACACAGAAACCCACACACAGTCAGACGCAGACACGGGAACAAGACCCCGTGCTCAGGAGGCTGAAGCAGGAGAGTCACCTCAAGTTCAAGGCCACCTTGGGCTACGCAGTGACTCCAAGCGCAGGCTGGACTACGTCACGAGACCTCATGTCAAAAAGCCAGAAAAGAAAGAGGAGCGGAAGTCAAACTGTCCTTATTTGTAAACAACGGAACCTTATAGTGAGAAGACCCCACAGAGGTCACCAAAAGATGAAGAGTGCAGGCCAGCTCACCACGGAGCACAACACAAGGCCAACCCTAAAACCCAGCCGCTTTCCTAGTCCATTTCCCCGCAGAATGGGGGAAAATACAAGCTGGAATCAGTGGAGTCCACTGTAACACTGAGAAACACACTTCCAGTTTTCAGCCACAGCGAATAGAGTGCAGATTTCCAAAGCCTGAGGCCACCTGCCCTCTCGCACTCGTCCCAGGTAGCCAGGCGACAGGACTGAGGACATCACTGGAAGATGCCCTCCCCAAGTCCAACTTCCCGGGCAGCCGCTTCCCGAGCTATGGTTTCTGCGTGTGATAGCTGCCCGCTGGCGGAGACCCACAGTGAAACCACCACCCGAGGGTGGGCGCCTGTGAGACCGGCTTGGGCAGGCACAGCGCTGCACACCTGTCATCCCAGCACTGGGGAGGCTGAGGCAAAAGACTCTTCCAGGCTACCATGGGCTACATAGCAAGACCCTGTCTCAAAAAATCAAATTAATTAAATAACTTAAGAAAATGAAAATTCCCACCACACTGTATTTTCGCCTGCAAGGACACCCATGTATGGCTCCATTTCACGTGAGTGCTGTGGGGGCGCCGCAACAGTCCTGGTGTCCATCTAGAATCCTTACTGGGCAGTGTGCGCCTCGGGTCCTGAGAATCTCAAGGAAGCACAGAGCTGTCCCCACCCCTGCTGGAGTGGCTGGGCCCCCCACTGTCCACAGCTGGCCCTGTCTCCTCAGAGCTGGAGATGGGACCCTGGCCGCCCGCTGAGCCACCTCCTGCTCCTCTCTTTCACTTTGAGGCACGGTTTCCAAGTCGCTGAGTTGTCCAGGTTGGAATCACACTTATGGTCCTCCTGCCTCAGCCTCCCAGAGTGCTGGGATGACAGGTGTTAGGCCTGCCTTCAGGAAAAATTAGGGTACAAGAATGCTCCCCTATCTTTTCCTGGCATGACCCAAATAAAAGTAAGAAAGCTTTACTTCTATTTTCCTGCCGAAAGACTCTGCCCATTTTGGCCAGGCGTGGTGACACGGTTTCAGCTGAGCAACCCAGGAGGCTGAGGCAGGAGGATTGATCACAAGTTTGAGCCCAATCTGGGGAACTTATCAAGGCCCATCTCAAAATGCAAATATAGAAGGGGCTGGGACCTGGCTCAGCATGAAGGCCTCGGTTCAAACCCTGGAGGCTACCTCAAGAATCTTCTCACACTGCAGGGTTTGCGCCTGCCTGGGTTTCCTCGCCTGTCAGGTAGGGACCAGAGCAGCACAGGGTTCTGGGTGCCATGCCCATCCTCAGAGCACAACTGAACTCACTTAGCCTCACTAATGTGAGTCCATCAGCGGCAGGGCCGAGGCTCAAACTCTGGGTGCCAGCACCACTGCCCCTTTCCCTGACCAAAGTGCCATGCTGCCCCCCATCCCCAGCCACTGAGCCCCCTGGAAGCAGAACCCAGTGGCTGCCTGCCTTGGGGATGGTGGGGACACAACTGTGTGCAGCTCGGATGAGGCTGCACCGTCAGCCCCGAGGGGATGTGGGACCTCGCTCAGGCCCAGGGCAGTGTCCAGTGCCAAGAGCAAGTGGCTCCGGCCACCTTCTCCCAAGCCAGGCACCCACAGCCCTGGGCACCATTCCCTCTTTTGCCTGCCACCTCCACATACTTCCCACAGGTGCAACACACAGTAGGCTAAGGCAGGAGGATCACTATGGATAAGGGGCCGGCCTGGGCCACACAGTGAGACTGCTCTCCAAAGACTCAGACTGCAGTGCAGCAGCATGGCCCCTGAGTGCAGGCCAGCCCCTCCCTCAGCGAGCTCTGACTATGGAGGACAAAGATGACCAACCCAGCAGGGCAGCTATCAGCCAGCAAGTGTCAGAACCCTGCTCCCCTCCCGGCTAGGAAAGGTCACTGCCTCCACACTCCTGGAGCTCAAGCCGGGGCTCTGACAAGGAAAGAGCCCTCCCTGCAAGCAGTGGCGTGTACGCCCCGAAGCTGATGATCTTAACACCCACAGAACACGCCAAACACGGTGAGTCATGGCTCAGACCGGCAGGTGAGGCTCAGGGCATCCTCTCGGGGAAGGCTGCCGAGACCCTGCCATCCTGTCTCTGTCTGTCTCTCTCTTGGTGTTTTGAGACAGGGCGTCACTATAGTTCCAGTCTGGCCTTGAATGCACTCTCAACCCCTAGCTGGCCTCCAACACATGGAGATCCTTCTGCCTCAGCCTCCCAAGTGCTGGGCCAGCTGCCTCTCCTTCAGTCTCCATCAGGCAGACAAGCTTCCCCTTGAGAGTCTTCTCATAAACCCCAAGCTACGGGGCTGGGGATTTAGCTCAGCGGCATAAGCGCCTGCTTGCAAGTGCGTGGTCGTGAGTTTGATCCCTGGTACAAGGAAAAAAAAAAAAAAAAAAAAAAGTTCAAACCCCAAGCTACAGAGACCTGCAAGCTTTTGCTGAAGAAAGCGGCAGGAGGGCACATGGAGGGTTTCCAAAGCCTTGAAAAGATGAGCTCAGTCCCACTGCCTCTGTGCCCTCCATCACCCCAGGACTGAGACCCCAGCGAGGAGAGGGGACCTCGGCTCATGGTCCAGGGTCAGGCTGGGGCGGAGTCGGATTGTGTCCTGGCAGCCAAGGCTGCTGGAACCTGTCCTCCGTACCAACACGGAAGGTAAATAGGAGAAAAACGGTCTCTAACCGTGGTGGAAACCCAAGTTTATGCAAAGTACAATTCGTATCTCCCTGCCTCTAATCTGAGGATTAAAGGCCAGTGTGGTTGTGCACACTTATTGACCAGTACACCCCTCCTCGGTCCCCAAACATCAGCCATTGTCTCAGGAGCTCCCGGCCTGCACCCAGGGAACAGGACCCCCCCACCCAGGCCAGCCAGGGTAGAATGTGAACCCAGATCTGAGGGGCTTCAGGCTCCTCCTGGGAGAAACACAACAACTTCAGCTGACCCAGTGCCACCTGGACACTGCCTTCACTGTCCACAGCCTGGGACTGAAGGTCGTGCCTGTGGCCCAAGTCCAGACACACACACACTCTCAAACACACACACACACACACACACACACACACACACACACTCACATGGTGGCAGAGGTGCAGCCCTGACACAGCAGAAGGGAAAAACCTCCAGGCACTCAAAGCTGGATGAGGCAGTGGCCACCGCAGCAGGTGGCGACACAAGGCCACCCTGGACATCGACGGCAGGACACAGACAAGAACAAGCCCTCACAGTGCCTCCCTGAAGCCCTGAGAAAGCACAACGAAACCTGGAGCTGCCCGCAGAGGAGATCAGACATTCAGCCTACACCGCAGACTTGATTCCTTCAGAAGCTCGACTGCTGGGGTTCATGAGAGTAGAAACCTTGTTTAGCCTTTCAGAAAAACTGATGGCAGGAGGTGGTGTTTACAGCTACCACGTAAAGAAGCTGGGGGCCCAGGCTCGTGTGACCCGCGCTTTGTAATTCTACAGACTATGCTTTTCTTAGCAAGAGGCAGGGTAAAGGAACCCCTGGTTAAAATCTAGGAAAACAAAGCAAAATGTCCCAGTCAGACGCAGCAGCAGCTCAGCGCCTCACAGGCCTTAGAGAAACCTATCCCATCAGACAAGAGGAACTGCCCCAATCCGAACCACGCTGCTTAAGAAGCACAAGAGTGGTGGCACCCACCTGTGTGCCACCACACTCGGGAGGCTGAGGCAGGAGGATCCTGAGCTCAAGGCCAGCATGAACTACAAAGTGAGACTCTGTCCCAAAACATCAACAAACAAATATTAATACAACACAAACAACCCAACAAAAGCCTTGTAAGAAATTGAGTGCAGGGCTGGGGATTTAGCTCAGTGGTGTAAGCACCTGCCTGGCAAGCTCTAGGTCATGAGTTCAATCCCCGGTACCAAAAAAAAAAAGAAAGAAAGAAAGAAATTGAGTGCATATTTTACTTTGTAAATTCTTTCAAGGCAGAGACCATTTCTTACTCTTATTAACTCTTGGAAAAACAGATTTTGCAAGTGTTATGTTAAACATCTACCCACTTTTCTGCTGAAACTATGACACTATTTTTAGTCCTAGTCAGATTCTAGAAACTTCCACACAATCACTGATAACTGACTGATGACTTCACCTGGAATTAGGAAACAGTTTTTCAGCTATGGCATCAAAAGCCCAAGGCACCAAAGAAAAAAACAGACCAATTGGTTTCATCAAAATCAAACACTTGTGCTCCAACCCAGGCATGCTGGTGCACATCTGTCATTCCAGCACTCAGGAGACTGAGGCATGAGGGTCACTGTGAGTTCAAGGTCAGGCTGGGTCACACAGCAAGACCCTGACTCAAAAGGACCATAAAGAGAAGCAGCAGCCAACCCCCCCCCCCCCACACACACACACACAGACCACTATGCGGTACCCGTAGCCAGCATGGCCGGGAGAACCAGCCAGCCACGCCTCAGAGAAATCACAGCCAATGTGGAAAGCACCTGGGACACCACAACTCGCTTGTCCAGAGGAACCCAGAAAAATGTCAAGACGAAGGAACAACAGGCAGTCTCTGGCCTCCAGCCCACAGGGAACAAGTCCAGGAGATGTAAACATGGAAGAGACAGGAGTTTCTGAAGCGGGGTGACTGAGGTAAAGAGACAGCTTCAGAAAGCTGTGGAAGAAATGAGCTCAGACGGATCTCAGGGAAAGAGGGCGAGAGAAACATAATGAAGGCACCGCTGAGCGCATCTAAAGACGACGCGGGTAAAAACAAATAGAGGAGCACAGGAACATGAGGGAAACCTTCAATGAACAACATGTGAAAGACTGAGAATGCATGAAAGGATTCAGAGAGACATACAGGAAATTAAAAACTCCATTGAAAGCCGAAAAAACCACTTGAAAGAAACTGAAGACAGACTTTCAGACTATCAAGACAGGGTTACAGCTAGCAATCTCGAAAGGAAAGCTCTCTTAAAAATAACAAGGAACCAGAAATAACAATTCAATGGCTGCAAGATGACGCAAAGAAAAATAATTTAAGACTATTAGGTGTCAGCACAAAAGCAGGGGTCAACACAAATGACATCAAAAGAATAGCAGGAAACTTCCCAAGCATGGGCAAAGGACCTGACATACAGGTAAGTGAGGCACACAGAACTCCAGCCAGCCAAAACCAAAACAGATCTGTGCCCAGACATAATCATCAAGACCCTAGAAATTCAGCACAAGAACAGAATATCGAAAGCTGTTAGGGAGAAGGAACAGATCAGTGTAAAGGAAAGCCTAACAGAATCACGGCAGACTTCTCAACACAGACCAGCAGGTCAACAAGAGCTTGGAGTGAAATACTGCAAGTCCTGAAAGGAAACAACTTCCAACCTAGACTGACATACCCTGCAAAGCTATCTTTCAAAACAGATGGGGAGTAAGACGCTTCCATGACAAAGAACAATTGAAGGAATCCATGACCACCAAACCCACCCTACAGAGCACTGAAGGACATTCTAGAGGGAGATAGAAATGACCACAGCAGCAGAGGGGGCTCCTTGAAGAGGGCAGACCACTGAATGGAGGGAAAGCAGGTAGCCAACAGCAGGTAGAGACGAGCGAGTGCATATTGGCCACAACCATTAATGTAGAGGCTTCAGTTAACCAATAAAAAGAAACACAGAGCGGATCAGGAGACAGGATCCATCAATATGCAGCATAGAAGGTACATTTAACGCAAAGGGAAATTCATAGACTGAAAGTCAAAGGGGAGAAGACAACGCTCTGTGCAACAGGGAACCGGAAAAAAGCAGCAGCTGCCCCCAACCGCAGAGCCAGGAAGACTCGGCATTTTTACGAGGTGGAAAGCCTCTTGGCCACGAAGGAGGATGACGCTGAGGCTCCTATAGGTGAACGGGTACAACTTGTGGCCACGCTCTGGGATGAAACAGCTGGTACTCACACAGGTGAGCACCGTCTCCCCAGCATAACAGGCAGAGGAGTTCATGGGCTCCAAAATGTACAGATGCTATGAAAGTGAAGGGGGCAGCGTCTGAACAGGGAGGGCGGCAGCCACTGAGAGTTCCCTAACCCTTGTTTTGGGGCCCTGCATCTTTTCACTATTGTTTTGTCTGGTTTTATTACTGTATCTGATGGAACGGTAGCCACTGCTGATTTCCTACTCTCTTGTTTTGAAATCCTGTATCATATTCACCGCTCTGCTTTGATTGGCTCTATTCTGTTTTATTTAGCTTGGTTTTATTCTCTTCAAAAAAAAAATTTTGAAAAAATTTTAAGGATCATAAAAAAATTTTTAAACATAGCTAGCACAAATGTCATGGGCCAGAGCTAACCGCCCCACCAGGCCTGGAGCCATCCCAGCAGTCACAGGACGCTGGCCACTGGTCAGTGTCATCACCAAGTGCTGAAAGCTAGAAACCAGCGGATGCCTGCTGCCTGACAGTGTGGATCAGCATGCAACCGAGGGGCAGCTAGTGCTGGCTGGGCCTCAAGGGGGGGCACTGCTTACAGGGGACATCTGCCTCCCTGTGGCCCTGCACGCATGGATACCTCTGCTACGGAACTGTGGGCCTGGCGGAGGGCAAACAGCTAGGGCAGAGGTGAGGGGAGCCCCAAAAGCCGCTTAGACCACTTATGCTCCTGAAAAGCTTCACCTGCTGAGGGAATCACCTGGCGGGGACCGGGTGTCACAGACGCGCCCTCGGGAGCCCGGGGAAGGCGCTACTCAGTGGCTCAGACCAGGACTTAGAGCAGTCAGCAGGATGCTGCCCTTGGAAACTCACAGTATGCAGGCCAGGTGCAACCCTGCATGCCTCTAACCACAACACTCTGGGAGGCTGAGGCAGGAGGAAGTCAACTTTCAGCTTCCCGGGGCTGGCACTCCCCCACTCCAGGTTCTGACCCTTCCCAAACTCGTAGGATCGCTGCTCTCATGGACCTCCATATGCAGAAGGCCTGGTTAATTGTCGGTGCCAAAGTGTGGCTGGACACTGCAGGGGTCCACCAGGCCCCTCCAGTCAGCTTCAGTGTGGAGCCTGAGCGAGACCACACCTCCAACCACAGCTCTGCAGCACCCGGACTGCATGGCCACCACGAACCCTCTCTGTTTAGCCAGAGAGCAGGCCTCTCTCAGCCTTAGGTTTTATTTTGCTTTTTGTTGTTCTTGAGACGGGCCTTGCTCTGTGGTTCAGGCCTCGAATTCACAGCAGATGCTCCTGCCTCAGCCTCCCGCACGCAGAGATAAGTCTTAGTGATAAAGCAGATTTGGACGCGGCGCAGACCTCTGACTCTCGTGCCTAGTACATGTGATGTATCATAACCCTCTCCCCGAGTTGGTCCTCAGAAACTGTCCTGCTTATGTAAAACACGTGTCCACACTCAATGAAGACCCAACACTGAGGCCTTTGAACCAGGTCCTTTTTCCAGAGCAGCTCCGCCCCCATCTAATTGGACCCACGAGTCCCTGCTGCCGAACCAGCAAGGCTGTGGTTAATATTAATTAGGGGCAGAAACAGGTTTGTTCTTGAATATCGTCCCTCGCAGCCAAGGCCAAGATGATTCCAAGTGGAAACTGGCCAAGCTTCCTGTGCTTGAGACAGAACCTCCGCAGAACAACATGACTGTAATTCCTCCTTCAGCAGGCTTCTCCAGCCTTCAGGGCAGCCCTAGCAAAAAAGCAACCACTGTCAAAAAAGGATTTTTTAAGGCAGGGTCTTGCAGTGTAGTCCAGACTAGCTTTGAGCTCATTACATAAACCTTGACCTTGGGCCGATCCTTCTGCCTCAGCCTCCCAAGTGCTGGGATGATAGGCATGCACTATCACACCTGGTTTAAAATCTTTAATGGGGGTTGGGATTTAGTTCAGCGGCATAAGCACCTGCCTAGCAGGCACAAGATCATGAATTCGATCCCTGGTACCAAAAAAAAAGAAACCTTTAATAGGCTGCAGGGCACCCTGTATGTGCAGACGCTCATCTCACACCCATACACACACCCACAGAAAAAGACTAACCTCCCAGCCACTGGCAAGGGGAGGCAGCTCTCTGGGTATTGCCTTGAGCAGCAGAGGAAAAGATCTCAGGCCAAAGACCCGGCAGGGCAGGCAGGGTGGGGCCGGAACCTTCCATAAACTTGGGCCTGCAGAGCCCCAGGCATCAAGGCGCTGGTCCAGATCCACTGCAAACACAAACTGCCTCCCATTTGAGCTGGAGGAACAGAACATACCACTGTACAGGCTAACTTCTACAGAAATGAGACAGGATTTGGGATCTGGCCAGGCTTTGGTAGCACAAGCTTGTCTTCCCAGCATCGGGAGGCTGAGGCAGGAGGATCACAATTTCTAGGCCAACCTGGACTATATAACCTCAAAAATAAAAACAAAAACAAAAAGGCTCTGTGATGCAGGCTGTGAGCCCAGGCAGTTTGCCAGATGCCAGTCTGCAAGCAGAAGGGCTGGAGAGGCAGGTCAGTGCAAAGGCCCCGGTTCAGTCTCCCGTACTGCAAACAAAAATAAAATTAAACAAAGTGTGCACTGATGGAAGAGATGAGCGAGCAGGGACGCCGGAGCGGCCCTTCTGCAAGGGCGGCTGTCACTGGGCAGCGGCTGCAGGACAGCAGGGTGCCAGGAGCCTCCTTCCTCTGGGCAGCCGGGCGCCAGCCCCCAGTGCGGGTGGCAGGGCACTGGGCAGCGCTCAGCCCGGGCCGGAAGCCAGCCGCCCGCCTGCCCGCCCGCAACGGCCTGCCACCACTGCCCCTCTTCACTGGGTAATATTTGGAAATCGGTTCAGTGAGAGGTACTTGGTTGCCAAAGGAAAAAGAAAAAGAAAAACTTGCACTTTCACATTGCTCAGACCCGGGAAGTGAGGCTGGGGACTGCTGGATGGTGGCACCAAGAAGCAGAGAAACAGTCAGGGCAGGGAAGGCTTTTGAAAACGATGGATTGAAAACAGCAGCGGACAGTTCACAAAGGCTCAGCGCAGGAATGAGCATCCCACACCCCCATGAAAGGGGCCAGGTCCACAGGGAACGCTGCAGGCCGCCAGAGAACCGAGTGCCAAGGCCACTCGGAGGGTCTCTCCAGCCTGGTCCTCACTGCTGTCTCCACCCCAGACCTTCAGGCAGCTCAGACCACACCAAATACAGAGGGGATGATACCAGGCCCAGCCCCCTCTGCCACCCCTCCCCGTGAACCAGGGTGGGGTGGTGGAAGGAGGGGCCAGGAATGGGCAATGTAGACTCCTGCTTCGACACCAGCTGTGAAAGCGCTCCCCCCAGTGACCCACAGGCCTGGGATCCCAACACTCGGAGGCTGAGGCAGGTAGATGGCAAGTTCAAGGCCAGCATGAGCTTAGTGACTTAGTGAGAACCTGTCTCGAAAACAAAAAGAGCGGAGCATGCGACTCCCTGCAAAGGCCCTAGGTTCAATCACCAGTTGAACAGAAAACAAAAGTTCCTATCCCTGGGAGGGGAAAGGAAAGAATATAAGGGGCTCAAATACAGTGTGGTCAAAAATCCTGCAGGAGGCGCCCCCTAGCCCGCGCCAAACAATGTGAAACAAGAGGAGGGCAGAACCTAAAACAGGAGGGGACGGTGCTGTCACCCTGTCCCGTGTCCAGAGTGCGAGTCAACACTCCCCTGTGCCCTGCTCCCCGTCCTCCTTGGCATGCAGTGGGTGGGGTGATGAGCTTGTCCCATGCGTGGGCCGCGCACCTGTAGGGCCGAAGGGCACAAACAACGGGAGGGGGAGGGGGCTGGCAGGAAGCAAGGACTCTGCGGACGTCCACCCCGACAGGACTGGGGTGCTGGGGACGGTCGGCCTGAAGGGCCACGACGTCTCCTGGCCTCTCCTCGCCAGCGGCTTTGCACCGTGCCCTAGAACGCAAGAGGTCGCGCCCAGGTCCCCGCGGCCGCGGACTCCCACAGGTGGGCGCGCACCCCTAAGGGCAGGCCGGGGGCCCCCGAGCCCGGGTGAAAGAGGGACCAGGTAGGGCGACTCTGCCCCCACCGCGTCCCCGCCTCGTTCCTGCCGCCCCACCCGCGAGCCTGCATGCGCCCCGGCACGTAGGACTCGGCGGCCGGCGAGCGGAACGCTGCGCCCCCGCCCGGCCACCCCGGGACGACCCGCCACCCCGAGGGCTCGGCCGCCGCGGCACCCGTGGACCCCGGCCGCCGCCCCCGACTCCCCGGAGACCCCCGGCGGGCTCACCGGAGCCGGCGCGCAGGCTGTCGCGCAGGAAGCGGCCGCTGGACAGGTGCTGCAGGCCGAAGCTGTGCGCAACGCGCTGGCTCACGGTGCCCTTGCCTGAGCCCGGCGGCCCAAGCACCGCGGCGCGCAGCAGGCGGGCAGCCATGGCGGAGGGACCGAGCCGGGCCGGACCGGGCCGGGGACTGCGGAGCTGGGCCAGGCCCCGACGCCGCGCCTGCCCCGCCCCCCGGAGATCGCGCACGTGGGCCGCGCGCTGTCACCGCCCCGGAGCCCGCCCCAAGCACAACCCCGCCGCGCGGCCGAGTGGGCGCCTCTCCTGGCGCTCGCACCCCGGCCCTCGCCTCTGCATGGGCGGCACCGCCTCCGCCGCCTCGGCCGCCGCGCGGACTCGCGCCTACGTCAGCGGGGCCCGGGCTCGGGGCGGCCCGCGCCCCCTCCTCCCCGCTCGCCCCGCCCCGCCCATAGGCCACACCCACACCCCCGCCCTACCGATAGCCCGGTCTCGCCCATGGCCCCGCCCCGTTCTTGTGACCACGCCCTGTAACCACGCCCATTTTATGGCCCCGCCCCGCCACGTGCTTGGAGCCCACGCGGCGGGGCGCTGGGGCGGAGACGTGGACCGGGCGGCGGAGAGGACGGAAAGGCGCAGCTCCTGCTCGCTCAGGGGCCACGGCTGGGGCGGGGCGGGTTCCGTGTGCGAGCCCGCGGGGCAGACGGGCCGGGCGCTTCCTCCGTTCTTTCCTCCGGAACCATCAGCCTGCACCCCCGGGTCGGGAATCCCCATCCCCGGGCTGCGGGGGCACCCCGACCGGGGGTCTCCTCTGCTCCCCGCCGCGTGCTGCTGGGTGGGAGCGGGAGCGCGCGCCGGATCTCCCTGCAGGGCTTCTAGAACGACTGTGCCAGGCTGCAGCCAGCGCCTGGGAGGCTGAGGCAGGAGGGTCTCCAGAGCCTGGAGTTCCAGCGGCCCGGGCGCCTCCCTGTGGTGGGGTCCGCGCAGCGCGGACGCTGTGACTTTCCACAGGAAGCAGCCCGCCCGCCCCCGCAGCCCCATCTCGCCAGACCTGGCGCTGTCTTCCGCCTGGGAAGCATCCCTGCCAGCGCCGCCTGGGGGCCCTCGGGGCCAGGGACCCTGCGTCAGGCGCTGAAGCTAGGGAACGTGGCAGGGTGGAGTAAACGCGTTAGGGAGCCTAGCGAGTGCGGGCGGAATTTCCCAGCGTTCCCAACCAGCCCTCTGCTGCGCCTCAGACCCGTGGCTGGGCCGGGGCCCGGGGCCGGGGGCCCTGGCTGGTGCCTCTGCAAGGACAGCGTCGCACCACTGTGTGAGCTGCCGGTGCGCTTCCTGGAGGACTTAGCCATCAGCACCCAGTTATAAACATCGCCCAGGCGTGGGGGCGCACGCCTGGCATCCCGGCACTCCAGAGGCCGAGGCAAGAGGATCGCCCCAGCTTGGAGACCAGCCTGGGCTCCGAAGTGAGACCCCCGTCGCACAAAGTAAACATCGTCCTATTGCTAACTAAGGCCGGTTACTGGGCCTCTTGAACTTGGCTTCTGGGTTAGGGATAAAGAGATGATCAGAGTGAAGCCGCCGGTGCTTGTCAGGCGCCCGGTGAGGGGCATCGTCGCCGCTCACGCGGCTGCTGTTGCCCCTGCACTGGGGTGCTGGGCTTCCAGGACCCCAAGCCCCCCCGCAGGTGTTTTGCCTGCGAGGGCCCGGGGCGGCGGTGGCCGCGACACTGGACACTGGCCACCCTGTGAGCCGGGACAGGGCTGCACCCCAGCGCGCTGTCGCTGCCGTGCTTTCCTGACTCGGCCTCCGTCACAGCGGGCGAGAGATTCCGGCTCCTCTGCCATATGACAGCCCCGGGCGGCTGGGGTGCAGGCCAGGTGTCCTGTATCGCCCTACGTTGCCTGAGAGCCATCAGGAACAATACAGCGGGGGTTGGGGTGGCCTGGCCCGATCCATGACGATCGCTGTGCGCCCCTGGAGGAGTGGGACCCTCACGGCCCGGCGCGCACACCCAGCGAGCTCCTAGCTGCACCGCGGGGCAGCAGGTGCGTTGGTTTCCCGGGCTGCATCTCAGGCCAAAGCCAAGCTGCCGAGTGGTTACAGCAGGGCCAGGGTGAGGGGGAGCAACCTGGCCATCTGTCCCCGCGTGACCCACTTTCTCCCACACGCGCGCCTTCGGTCGTTGGCAGAGAATAACGGAGTGCTGGCGCCAGGGCTCCTCCCAGGAAACACCCTGGCAAGCAGCGCTGGGGTCTGCAGGGCCCCCAGGCCTCACTGACTCAGCTGCTGGTGGCAGGATGGGGTGACGGTCTCTGGCGTCATCAGTCTTCCCCAGCCGTCAGCAACAGGGCAAGGCCGGAAGTCCTAAGGGGCGTGGTCAGCTTGCGGGTGGCAGGAACCCAACCCAGTACCCTTGTTTCTAGTTTGGCCCAGGAGTGTTCAGTGCCTGACCAGCAGCCCCCTCGGGCAGGAGGGTTAGGGTTAGGGTCTCACCAAGTAGCCCAAAGTGGGCTCAATCTGCAGTCTTTCTGCCTCAGCCTCCCCAGGTACAAGCATCTTTCTTCTGTGCAAACCTACTGCCCAGCTGGGTGAAGGGCAGGCTCTGAGCACTGGGTTGTGAACCCGAACTCCGCTCTGCTGCTGGAGTGGGGGCCGGAAGCCTGACGTGGGCACCTTGAAAGTTTGGGCTCATAACTAAGGTTGTGAGGGTGCTAAGGAGCCTTCCAGCCCGTGGGGGGTGTCAGGCACTCGTCCCAACCACAAGGGAAGTGGCTGTTGTTTTGTTTTCTGAGGCAAGGTCTTGCTATGCAGTTCAGGCTGGCCTTGAGCTCACTGTGCAGTCCGCTTTGGCCTCAAACGTACGTAGGGCAATCCTCCTGCCTCAGCCTCCCAAGGGCTGGGGTTCCAGGCATGGTACCCGGCTCTTTTCTTTTCTTTTCTTTTCTTTTCTTTTCTTTTCTTTTCTTTTCTTTTCTTTTCTTTTCTTGAGACTGGGCCTGGGATCTTTCCAGCCTGCCCACACTGGTCTCAAATCCCTGGACTTGAGTAGCACTGACCACCTCAGCCCGATGGCGGGCAGGGATTACAGGTTAGTTTTTACAACACAAAAGGGCTGAGGACAAAAACAGAAAGTGGGTAGGGGGCAAGGAGACAAGACACTAGGAAATAACTGGGGAGCGACTTCTGAGGGGGATTAAAGAGGAGGAGGGGGCTCTGGAAAGCTGCCCTGCGGCTCTCCAATCTCAGAGAAGGGCTGGGCTCAGCCTGGTGACAGGGACTGTATTTTGCATTAGTGACTCTGTTTTGATTCTTTGGTTTGGTCTGTGGGACCCTGGTACAAAAAATGAGCCCAAACAGGGCGTGGTGGCGCACACCTGTCATCCCAACACTTGGGAGGTTGAGGCAGGAGGATCCCAGTGAATTTGAAGCCAGGCTAGACTACATGACAAGACCCTGTCTCAAAAAACAAAAAAGCCAAGGGTCAGTCACAGACAATGCTCTCCTGCGTTTATTTAACATTATTTTTTGTTATTAATTATTGGGCGTGAGCTTTAAGTTATATACTTTTTTTTTTCTGCTACTGGGTGTTGAACTCACAACCCGGCTCTTGTACTGCTGAGCTAAATCCCTGGCCCAAATTACATAAAATTATAGCAGAAGAACATCTTAGCCCTTTGACTGTCTCTGGGTATCTTTGATACTTGCTTTTAGCAATAATGGACTTTTTTGTTCTTTCTGTGTTTTTGTTTTTGGGACAGGGTTTTGCTGTCCAGACAGCCTTGAAATTCCTGTGTAATTCAGGCTGACCTCACACTCTAGGTGACCCTCCTGCCTCAGCCTCCTGAGTACTGGGATTACAGGAATATGCCACCAAGTAGTAATGAAAATTACAACCAAAGCACAGATTTACAGGGGAGAAACCATTCATGGGAACCCAGAGGATGGGAAGGGTCAGGTAACTGGTGGCGCACTGGACGCTGGAATGGGGGTGCAGATAGGTAGGTCAACAGCACAGCCAGAGGCTGGCTCTCAAGGACCTGCCGCTGGGCTGGGGTCCAGGCACCCATCCTCGCAGCCCAGGTGTCCTCATTGTGGAGTCCTCCCAGCAAGAGCCAGTGTCCTTCCCAGGAGAGACCAGCTCGGTCCATGGGGTCCCAGGCACATAGCTTGGCCTCTGCTGCACTCCAGGTGGCCACAGGCTCAGGACGGGGTAGAGGTTTCTGGGTATAGCTGACATCCCCAGAGACCTCTGACTTCGGTGTCCTCA